ACGACCCTGGCCAATTCTTGGGATTTTCAATATCACGTGCGTAGGGCATGTCAATGTTTACATCCACTCTATCTTGGATTTGAATTTGTTTTAGACGCCAATCTGAATTGGGATAATCAGGTGGACTATATGTGTCCTAAGCTACATAGAGCATATTATGCCATAAAACAGCTGAAATCATGTTTGGAAAAGACTGGCTTACTCAGCATATATTTTTTATTTATGTATACACTGCTCTACAGGTTAAATCTAACTACAGAACTGGGATATAAGTCAAATCACAATACAATACAATTACAATAAGTTATAAAATTTATACAATACATATATTAGCTGAAGTAAAAAAACTTAATTTCAGAGATGGAACAGTAAAAAATGCCGAGCTGACAGCTTGCAGAATTACATTTGACACACATGTTATGCATAGGTGAATGTTTCAGAATATTTGTACTTGGTGTTGGCAGATAAAGAGAAAGGATTAACCACTCTAGAGGTTGGTCTAGGTACATTGAAATTGAGTTTTTGCAGAATATGTGGGTCAATAATTAAATTATTAATCAGCTAAAAAAAAAAAAAATTGTGGAATCACAATCACGACGGCAACTCAAGCTATTCATAGCATGTCTAGCTAACATGCATCATGGGGAAATCCAATTGGTGGATAGATTTTGTCTGATCTCTGTATACAACTGATGAGATGGATTCCAGATTATGGATTCACATTCTAATTTTGATCTGACGAAAGCATAGTATAAGGAAGCGGTACTCAACCTTTTTTCCCCTTAGGCCACATAGTTGCTACTGTTAGACCTTGCGGGCCGCAATAATAAAACTGAACTGAACAAACTACTTTCGGGTTTTGCGTTATAAGAGTTAGACGTTGTATGTAAAATACAATAAAACGCAACTGTAAAAATAAACCATTTATTTAAAAATTAATGTGATGATTGACATTGTCGCAAACTATTTACAATTTCTGATAAAATCTGGCACATAATTACTTGAGTAATTTTTTTATGTGAAA